TATATTATAGCTTACCGTGACATTGGTCGTGAAGCGTTTCGCAGAGCCTGGAGCGTCTGCTTTGAAATCGGCGATCAGCTTGTTGACCACCGAGGATTTTCCCGCATTTGTGCAGCCCACAAAGTACACCGATCCATTGTTGCGGTGCTTTTCTATAGACTTCCTGAATATTGGGTATATACATATACCGGACAATGCGTATGTGTTTCAGTCATTCAGGTTTCACGGTCCACATACTCGCACCAATTGGGTGTTTGTATTGGTATTGATAGCCCATGTGTGACATTTGATACTACACCGCGTGTGTGCACGATCGACACATACCACACCAGCCAAACAGTTACATCGACTATATCTTGTCCCAGCTCAAACTATGTACACATGAACGATACAGTAGCATCTAATACAAAAGAGTGCATTGTACTAATCCGAAGCATTGGTAGTCTCAATATGACGCATACATATATTGATGAGAAGACTAACCTGAGACCAGCAAAGCCGAGGCCAGACTTAGCACTCACGAACACAGCATCTACAACATTCTTTAGCTGTGTGTCCGCAATAACGTCGTGGATCCATGTGTTGAGACGTTCAGCCACCTCCGGCTGAAATATTGATAGTGTGGAGTGTTAGCATAGCTTGACCTCAACAAGTAAAATAATAGCGTGTGGAAGGACCGGCCTTATACACACACACAAACACACACACACACACACACACACACACACACACATATAGATAGGGTTGGAAGACGAGTAGCAAGAAAGTAGCATACGAGCAAGCACTACAGAGTGTGCCCAGATAGCCGGTCACGGAGGTTGAGTCATGCAGTACAATCGGGAAACACGGTAAATTCAAGCATTCGCATCAAGAAATATGCGATACATAAAAGAAAACGTACAAAGCAGAGAGACGAGGATACTCGGTTAAACGAAGGTCCCAAACAAAGACACAACGCTAGATCATAGGCGTGTACTTATCCAGACAAGGACTGAAAACGGGAGTACCACCACTTAATACAGTTCAACTTACGTACGTACCATGTCTTTCCCTTTGCCGATCAGCATGTCGGTCTTGTTCACGCATAGCACAATCTTGTTCTGGGTCCCGACTACCGCATTCAGACCGGTATAGATAGAGCCTGGTATATCCAGCATGTCCACAACATGTACGATGAGCCCCTTCCGATTAGCTAGGAGTTTGAGATGTCGTTTGTAGTCGTCTTCAGAGATGCGGATGGGTTCTATGCGTGCATTGTTCTTGAGGGAGAAACAGCGCATGCAGATCAAAGACGACTGCGATTTTCTGTGGAACAAGGATATAGAGATTAGGCAAGGTGATCATACTTGGGCGGTACAAGCCGAAACTGACGAAGAACAAGCATAAGTATTTTTGTTAGTTGACACGAGCGTACATGTGTGAGTAGATATCGTGAGCCAACGCAGGTACTGGTGATGTTGTAAACTTATCAACTAACCTACAATTATAGGACTCACTCGTTCATACAGCCAATTTGATACCCATTACACATACATATACATACATGCA